GGCTTTAGGGTTTAGGGTTTGGGAAGGACTGGGGTGGGTTTGGGAAGGACTACTGTTCATGATGATATAAATCCTGCGTTACCTTAAGGACTCTAAACTATGGGTCTTATGGTATATTCCTTGTTATGCGTAACGCAGGGTTTTTATCATCAACCGTAGGGTTTAGCGTTTCTGAGGGTTTGGTAGTTCCAGGTTTAGGGTCCGGGCTTTTGGGTTCAGAGTTTCGGGTTTTGGGGTTCGTAGGTCGAACGTGAGATTCGTGGGGGTTAAGGTTGGCTGAGCCCAAACTTTGAACCCTAAACCCTAAAATTTAAACTTTAAGCCTCAAGCTCTAAAACCTAAACCCTGAACTCTGCGTCCGGCATGCCAAACCCAATGCAGCGAACCCGAAAGCACCGCATAAGAACCCTTGAGCTATCTCACTGGTTCAGGGTTTATGGTGTAGGGGTTTAGGGTCTAGGGGATAGGGTTTGGGGTTTGGGGGTTGTCTCACTAATCCACATGGGTAGTTCTCCAAATTGGGTTCCCTTTTTACAAGGTTTTCAACCTAGCACGGCACCTTCAACAAAGGACCCTCAAGGGGACCCTAATTTTGAGAACTACCCATATAGACCCAGCATGCCCTTCAAGAGCCTTAAGCCCGAAGCCACACAAAACCTTTCGAAACCCAGAAAGCCTTATGAAACCCTACGGAATCTTTCGAATGCTTTGCGAAGCCCCTCAACCCTAAAAAACCCTATACGGTGTACGCATTTGCGAGATGTATGGTGACGAATCGTTTTGGGCCAATTTTCCCTCCATTTGCAAGGCCGATCAAAACCTTTCAGGGTCGATGTGTGCACATCTGGAGCGACCCTCACAGGGCGCGAGGGGCAGGACGTTTGTTCGAAACCCTTGCTTGTCGTCGAGGGGCCGGCACAGGCCGCGAGGACCCACAACCTTAGTCTCAGCTGCGCTTTGCTGTGACATGTGATCGTTGTCTGTAGAACCGCGAATGGAAGCAGAGAGCAAGAAAGCTCCCCTCCAAGAGGGGTTCTGGGGGTGAGGCCTAAACCCTTATTATTGAGAACAGTTGGGGTGGCTGGGGCGGGACTACATGCTGACGCAAGCGCGCGATAAGTGGGGGCGCACCCATTCCTGAAGAAGCGCACCCACCGCCCGCACACTGTGGACGCACCCTAAACCCTAAACCCTGAACACTCCGAGGAACGATGTGTCGGCCAACCGATACTTCGTGCCGCAGTCGCTGCAACTTGGCTCTCATAGTTAGTGGGTACCTTAACCCACCAGAACCGACTCTGTTGTAGGGTCCCTATAAACCCCATATTCGGGTTTATAATAAGAACCTACAAAAAAGAGGGTTTTGGGGTAGCTCTCTGAATTTCAGTACGTAGGGTCATTTTTGTGGTCTCGTTGTTAAATCAGATCGCCGTACTGTTTGTGGGACCTGAAAAGGGACCCGAATTTAGAGAACTACTCCAGTAGGGTGTAGGGTTTCGGGCTTGTAGGGTGTAGGGTACAGGCTTTACGGTTTAGGATTTAGGGTTTATGGTATACGCTTTCGGGCTCAGTGTCAAAAGCCTCAAAGGGTGGGACCGGGGTAGGTGGGGGTATCCCACATGAAAGTTCTTATATCTGGCTTGGCTAAATTACCACACTTCACGATTCTTGCAGGTTCTCTTTACAGACTTACCCATAATCACATACATGTCTACATGAGTCTTTCTATATGCATACATCTAATATGTATGTACACACTCTCACATACATGCTCGCAAGCACGCGCGCACGCGCGCACGCACGCACGCACGCATGCACGCACGCACGCACGCACGCATGCATGCATGCGTACAGTTGCACATGCACATGCAGATGCCATGCACGTACACATTCACATACAGACAGAGGCATGGATGGATGCATGGATGGATGGATGGATGGATAGAATCCATCGGGTCTTACCTTCCCCTGTCAAGTCCTCTTCTGAATAAGCCAGGCAAATGGGCATTCCCTTCTGCGGCATGTGCCTGGCCTGCGTGCTCACGGTCAGCACTTACGGTGACTTGGACTCGAAAGAAGCCATGAGGCAGCTAAACAACCAAACAAAATTCCCTCCTAAACCCCCAAACCAGACTCCCACACCCTAAACCCAAAAACCCTAAAGCATTAAACCCTAAACCCTAAACCCCAAACCCCGAAGCCTGCACACCTTATAAGTCACAAGCTTGAAAGGGAGTGATTGCGGGTCTTTCTTGATCGAACTCGAAGCCGTGCAGCGCAAGCCCGCGTACGCTTTCAAAGGCCCTGATTCTGCAGAGTTGGTCCTTTCTAGGGAATTCTTTTACAAAGATCTTTTTATTTGATATCTATTTTGGGGTCCCGTATGTTCTGCCGTCCAAACATCTGTGTTCCTGGCTTTTCCCGAGCCCCAAACCTCCTAAACCATAAAGCCTAAGCCCAAAGCCTCCAAAGCCCCTGGAGCCACTAAGCTTACAGCACCACGTAAGCTCCCAAAAGCCCTAAACCCTTAAACCCTAAACCCTCAAGCGTAATTAAACCCTGAAGCCTTACCCTCAACTCTAAAGTCCTACCTAAAACCCTAAAGCCCCAAAGCCCTAAAGCGCTACACCCCAAACCCGAAAACTGCCTAAAGCCTTCTCAAAATCTACCAAGGCTTCGCCGGGCTCCGTGAGGCCCCGGGGGTCTTGAAAGACGGCTCCAAAAGCCCCCGAAGTGTTTAGGGCTTAAGGTTTAAGGTTTAGGGTTTAAGGTTTAGGGTTTCGGGTTTAGGGTTTAGGGGTTTAGGGTTTAGGGTTGAGGGTTGAGGGTTTAAGGTTGAGTTTT